GTTTTCATTTCCACAAATCACAAACAGTGAAGAACTTAATCAGAAGGAAAGCCTTAAAAAAGCAACTGTAACTCCTAAAGATGAAACAAAGAATCTACAGACAATGGATAGTAAAAGTCCTCTTCAGTTTGAGAATCTTGAAGAAATTTTTGGCACATCAGTTTCCAAAGTGATCGGTGATGACATGACTTCAGACATTACATTTTCTGAAGGGAATACACATGTTGAGAAAGATTCATTCAGTGCTGGACCTGGGAAAGAGCTTGATTTGTTTGCTTATTTAAAGCATTGTGCTAAAAATATAAAAGCAAAAGATGTGCCAGAGCCAAATGAAGATAACCCAAGTGTTTTAATATCTGTCCCTCCCATAAAAAAACATTTACAGTTAGAAATTAATAATGCAAAAAATAAATCAACTGGTACCCAGGAAGACATGCCTTCAAGTGAGATGGGCCCACATGATGATCTTTGTACTAAAGAAAGTGTCTCAGAAGAAGGAAAAGAAATTCCTCAGTGCACGCCAGAAAGTAATGAAGCCACACTTTCAATCGTGCCTTCTAAAAATGTGGAAGACCTTGGGAAAAATACTGATTTTGTGCAGTCAGAGCTCTGTACAAATGGAATAAGAAATGGTAATTCCAATAACCCTTTAGATACTGACTGCTCATTCTTAAAAAATAATAAGAAAGAAAGAATTGAGCAACAGCCACCAAAAGAACAAGGCTTATCTCCAAGACCCCAAGCAAAGGAGACTCAGATTTCTGAATTATCTCAGAAATTTGTGGAGGATATGAAGGAAATATTAAAAAGCAGATTGAAAGACGGTAATATGAATCCTCAAGAGATTGAGGAACCTTCAGCCTGTGCAGACACTAAAATTTTAATTCAAAACTTAATTAAAAGGATTAGCACATCACAGTTGGTAAATGAAGCATCTGGTGTGCTCAGCAACTCTCAAATCCCTGACTATACTGGAATTTCCCACATGAGTAACTCATCAGAACTAAAAACAGAAAGTAGAGATGATCCTTCCTGTATTGCAAGTCTGAAGTGTAAGCTGCTCCGTGATATACTCAAGCAAAATCAACAAAGCCAAAAAGTTGCAGGAGCGTTTGAACTGATGAGAGAATTAACTCAGATGGAGTATGACCTAGAGAAAGGTGGTACTACCTCTAAAATACTTCTATTGCAACTTGAAAATATTTTCTACAAGCTGCTTGCTGATGGATATTCAGAAAAAGTAGAACAGGTTGGAGACTTGACTCAAAAAGCACTTTCTACTCCTGAGATGGTGAAAGAGAAGCCATACATTCTTGATGATCTTAAAAGCAAAGAAGGAAGCCACTGTTCCCTTAATTTACAAACTGTAAAAGAAATTGGACTAGAAGGCTCTTCTGTGTGTGCATCAGATGAGATGACCAAGGAGTTATGTAATGATTTCCCAAACCACTCAGAATGTCTTTCAGGGCTGAAAGAAATGGCTTCTGGAGATAGCTCAATTGAACAAGTAAGTTGACTTACACATTTTGTATGAAAGTACCTACACAAAACATTTGGGGATAATCCTGCAAAAAGTCCATTGAGTTAAAATGTCCAAATTTGTTTTTAGTTTTCCAATGAGTTACAGCAGTGTTTACAGCACACTGAAAAAATGCATGAGTATTTGGCTTTGCTTCAAGATATGAAACCCCCCTTAGACAATCAGGAGTCTCTGGATAACAATCTGGAAGCTTTGAAGAATCAACTGAAGCAGTTAGAGGTAAGAACGGTCTGCTGCCTCTTTATGATTGGTGGTCACTTGCTATTAGATTTGGAAAAAGAAGCAGAACACTTGACTTTTATGTTTTATATTTGTGTTTTTCACTAAATAGTAAATAGGTCTACTATATATTTCTTTGTAGACATTTGAATTGGGATTGGCTCCAATTGCTGTTATTTTGAGAAAAGATTTGAAATTGGCAGAAGAGTTCTTAAAGTCTCTTCCCAGTGACTTTCCCAGATGTCATCTTGAGGAATTGAGTAGAAGCCACCAGAGTTTGCAGACTGCCTTCTCCTCCCTCAGTGACGTGTCTTCAGAAAGAATGAAACAGATCATGCTTGCGATTGACTCTGAAATGGTAGGTATAAAATGTTAGAATTCTGACTTTTGAAGAAAATTGAATTATTTGAGAAAGTAGTGATAAGGTGAACTATTTTTATCTTTCGAATATTACACTCATAAACCAGAATCACATTTTGGGGACAGACAGAAATGAATGCACAATTTTATTTTCTAGGCTAAGCTAGCAGGGTCCCATGAAGAATTTCTGCGTAAACTTAAGTCATTCTCAGATTGGATATCAGAAAAGAGAAAATCTGTGAAGGATATTGAGATTTTGAATGTTCAAGATACTGAACATGTGAAGAAAAGTTTGGAGTTCCTCAAGGCAAGTATCAAAATAAATATGACAAAGTACATTAAAAATTTTGTGGCATTAATTTAAGTGTCTAGAAAGTACAACTTTGCTAAGGATATAGAGGATTATTTTTTTCTGTCTCCAGAGAATTTAGTTCACAATTGACACAGCTAAAATCATAATTTTATGGATGCCATCTCAAATACCTTATCACACTTACCACCACCGACATGTTGAGATTTGTATTTATGTGTTAGTCACATAAATACATAATAGTATAAATGTCATATATAAAAATAGTCACAAAATGCATATAGTATATGTAGTACAGTCATGAATCACTTAACGATGGAGATACATAGTGAGAAATGAGTCATTTGGGTGTTGTGTGAAAAATGTAGACTGTAGTTACATAGACCTAGATGATCTAAAATACTACACACCTAGGCTTTATGGCGTAGCCTATTGTTTCTAGGCTGTAAACTGTATAGCATGTTACTGTCCTGAATACTGTAGGCAGTTGTAACACTGGTATTTATACATCTAAACATAGAAAATGTAAAACAAAAATATGGTATTACAGTCTCATGGAGCCACTGTCATACATATAGCCTGTCATCATGTGGCTCATGACTGTATTTATATGTCAGTCACTTTTGGCATACTGGTTTTTTTTGTTTGTTTGTTTTGTTTTTCTCCATGTTCTTAATTTGAACAGTCTGCTTCATGAATAGTGGTTAGGCTTCTGGCCCGAGAGTCAGAAAACTGAAATTCTGGCTTTCTTAATTCACATTTCAAATTCCCTTTAGTACTGGTTATATGTTATCATAACTGCATGGACGTTGTAGATATTAGCAAGTCATATTTTAATGTAGGTGTTTCTGTTCAATGTGCTATAAATATATCAAGTTGGATCTTTGCCTTTTATCAGAGTTACATTTTAGATGTGATGTGATAGACAAAGAGAAGATATTCTTAGAAGGTTTTTAAAAAATCTTTTTATACAATACTAACTCCCATGTGTTTAAGTAATTATTTTTATCATCATCTATTACTAGATGATAAATAGATTTTGGACTGATAAAAAAGTCAATAAAGCTTTCAGCCCCTGGTGGAATCATGTTTTAAAAATAAATATTACTGTTCATATAAACTTTATCATGACTTAGCCCTCTATTGGTAACATGTACTACTTTGTTCACAGAATGTATTGAAAGACCTTGGACATACCAAAATGCAGCTGGAGACTACTGCCTTTGATGTGCAGTTCTTCATTTCTGAATACGCACAAGATCTGTCTCCCAACCAAAACAGACAACTGCTGAGGCTCTTGAATACAACTCAGAAGTGCTTTCTTGATGTCCAGGAATCAGTAACTACCCAGGTGGAACGTTTAGAGACTCAGTTACATCTAGAACAAGATCTTGATGATCAGAAGGTTTGCCTTTCTTTGTGGGGTTGGAATTCTTTGTTTTTAGTATGAAATCATCATGCAGATACCCAGGGATTATAGCACGATAGGAAAGATTTTCTGAAAAGGCATTAATGGACAAGATATAGCATAGAGACTGCAGTGTATATCAATACCTTTTTCTATAATGATGCTATAATTTAGTTGATTTTAATTTTTATGATTCCCTAAAATACTTATTTCAGGTGAGAGTCTTGATTCCTTTTCCCACTTAGAGTAGAAATTATGCATTCACTCAGAAATTTTGAGAAATAAATTGATGGACATACAGCTAAAAAAGGTTAAGAGTTTCTTTTTCCTCTGGGAGGTGATACACACAGCAGTTCAATGCATGACTTTACATCCTAGCTGCACTCTCCAGGCATTCTATGACTTAAGACAAAGTCACTTGACTTCAGGTTTCTGATTGGTTTGGAAATAGTAATAGTGTTTACTTAGTAGTATGGTGAACATTGATAAAACAATGAACATAAAACACTTAGTACCATGTCTGGCATTTGTTAGGCTCTTAGTAAACATGATCTATTACTATAGGATGAATAATTTGTGTGTATATAATAAGAAAATGAAAGATGCTCATAATTGGTACTGACTTATTAAACTTTTAGAAGATTTAATGGATTGTATTAGAGTGCTATATCTAATAGCCAAGATGTGGGAATGCAACTAGACATAGTGACCAAGTAAAAATATTGCATGCAGTATTCCTTTTATTATTTCTTGAAGCACCAGGCGTTATCTCTAGCATGATAACCTATATACACACGTCAAATATGTTAACCTACACATCACGACTAACTTTTCTTTTGATGTCCTTTTGCAGAATTAATTATGTGTGTTGCAGGTTTCAAGAGCTTAAGAAAACGGGATGTTTCTTCCTGTCGGTCAGAAGTTCCGTCTCTTACACATATGCATGGCCAGTATTCTGTTGAGCGGTTTCATCTAAACATGATCTCTTTCCTTGTATATGGACATGCTCATACTCTCTGTCTCACCTTGCTCAGTTTGTACCCCACTTGCTACCATGTTTACAGCATACTTATAAAAACTTATTAGAGGAAACTTGAAAAATGTGTTTTGACAGGGAGCTATCACACATTTAAGATGTTTATTGTATTCTCCACTTTAGATTGTAGCAGAGCGTCAGCAAGAATATAAAGAGAAACTCCAAGGGATATGTGATCTCCTCACCCAAACTGAAAACCGCCTAATTGGTCACCAAGAAGCCTTCGTGATCGGAGATGGCACCGTTGAGTTAAAGAAATACCAGTCCAAGCAAGAGGTAGAACTTAGTGTATCTACAGCTCTCTATTGATGTTAGGTTTGATTACTGTCATTTGGAAGGCAGTTAGGATTACTAAAAAAAAAATACCCCAATAGTGTCAGCTTTTCAGAAGCAAGGCGTATCTAGATGCCCAGGCTTGAGCTTTAAACTTTATACTAAAAGTGAGATTCCCAGCTTCAAGCAAGCCATGTAATTTTCTTGACATTTGGTGAGAGATATCGAGTGGAGGAGATGTAAAGGAAATGTGATCATTGAAATACCTGGTGTGGTAAATTAAAATTTGGATCCATTTAAGGCCACCTACTCATTTGCAAATCAGGGGAAATAGCCACCAGTTTGTGTTCTTTCTTTCTCTTAGCCCCATCTTATTCCTTATGTCTTTCTCTGTGATTTGTTCCTTTTTTTGTTTATTTTATTATAAAGATGTGGGGTACAAGTCAGGATTACATTCATAAGTGGTCTACGTGCAGGTGAAGTTTGGACTTCCAACTGGTTCTCACTTCCCCTGATTTAGGATCAGGTACCCTTAGTGATGTTATGTGCCTCCCTACCCCACGACAGTGTCCCAGTACTGCCAATCCCCCTCCTGCAGTATTGTGACAGATGTTCAGGACCCTGTTCCTTTTTATTGAAGGAAAGTGAAAAAAATTAAAATGACAAAAGTATCTTTATTTTGGTGTCAGGAGAGAATATTCTCCTTGTGACCAGATAGCTCTTGGTTCAAACTCTAGACTCATGACATTGTTAGCTATATAATTTGATTTCTCTGAACCTCAGTTTCTTCATTGGCCAGACTTTCATTTCTACATTATTATAAAATTTAAGTAAATATTGCATATTAAGTCACTAGCATAGTTAGTGTTACACAGTAATGGCTCATTAAGTAGTATTTCTTTTCATTCACGTTCTTCTCAGAGAAATTTGAGAAGGGTTAAAAATAAAGTGTGGAGAAAAATAATATTAAAACTCAAATATAGTACAATATAGAGAATGAAAATGCTTGAAATGGAGGAAAAGAAGAGGAAAACTTGCATACAGACAGTCTAGACAGAAGACAACTCTAACTACTGAAGAAAGATCTTGAGCTTTCCAGCAGTCAGAGCAAAGAAGCAAACGTTACATATTATAGAATCTGGAGTTCAGCAGGGAAGTATCTTAGTTCACTGAACTACTTTGTTTTTATCTTGTATAGTAGATATATATTTGAAAATAAAAGTTTAGAAACAGTAAATATTATTGTGTATTTACAAGCCTTTGTAAATATACTCCCATCATATGAAACAATTGGTGTGTACAAATTTGTTTAGATTATGTGCTTGAGAACTTCAGTGTTTTCAATGTTTCACAGACTACATTCTTTTGTTAAACATGAAAATTTGTGCTTTTCTTTAATGCTGTTTGAGATTTCAAATTATATTGAATAAACCAAGTTAAATTAACATATTTAATATGTTTTTTTCAAACTTCACGTGCTAGACTCTCTGCTCAGTCCCTCTTTTAAAATTTCAACTCTGGAAAAGTTAAATAGGTAATAATTTAACAAAATCTTTTTTTCTTTTGTGTTCTAAGGAATTACAGAAAGATATGCAAGGAAGTGCACAGGCATTGGCAGAAATAGTGAAAAACACGGAGAACTTTTTAAAGGAGAATGGTGAAAAGCTGTCACGAGAAGATAAGGCTTTGATTGAGCAGAAACTTACTGAAGCTAAGATAAAGTGTGAACAACTTAACTTAAAGGCAGAACAGTCAAAAAAGGAGCTGGATAAAGTTATGACAACAGCAATCAAGGAAGAAACTGAAAAGGTCTTTATTCAGATATGTGGTACATTACTGCTAAGTAAAAAAATTACACATTTAACAGCTTCTTGATTTATTGAGTGACATCAGGTCGTAGTGAGCAATTATTAGCTAGCACCTAGGTTCCAGGTGGATATTTGACCAAATGCTACAAAAGGTTTGAAAAGTTGGCTTTGCTTATCTTTTTCCTAAAATTTAAACCGAGTTGCGAGATGATCTGCTTGTGAAATGTGTGATCACTTGTCAATTACAGTTAAAATTTTGTAGTATTTTTAAGAACAGTGAAAGCTTCCAGGTAACTGCCTATTGCTCTAAGGTTTAATTTCAATGTGTTAAGTTTTCAATGTGTGTCAGTTTTTAGTATCCTCATTTGAATTTAAAATGACCTAAATTTTTGCTTTTGAAATATCTTAAAACCATGTCTGGGCTCATGTTCAGAATACCTCCTGTGGTCTTTCCCTGCACAGGTTGCAGCCGTGAAGCAGCTGGAAGAAAGCAAAACCAAGATAGAAAACCTTCTGGATTGGTTGTCAAATGTGGACCAAGACTCAGAAAGGGCAGGGACGAAACTCAAACAGGTAATTGAACAGAATGGAATGCATTTTCAAGAAGGCGATGGCAAGTCGGAGATCGGAGAAGAGGACGAAGTTAACGGCAACCTGTTGGAGACTGATGTGGATGGGCGCGTTGGAACCACTCAGGAGAATCTGAACCAGCAGTACCAGAAAGTTAAGGTGTGTTGTGTAAACATGATCGTGTTAAATTCTATTTCCAGGCCAATAAAGAAGAAACAACCTAGTACATGATGTATCTTTTCAAGTCTTAATGACCAAAGGAAGTAAAGTTCCCTTTTGTCTAGGTTCATCATTTTGACAAATATAAATTATTGTGAAAGTTCTAAGCAAGTCAAAAAATAATGAACAGACCAGGTGCAGTGGCTCATACCTGTAATCCCAGTACTTTGGGAGGCCAAGGCAGGATAATCGCTTGAGCCCAGGAGTTTGAGACTAGCTGGGCAACATAGTAAGACCTCGTCTTTACAAAAAATACAAAAGTTAGCTGGGCATGGTGGTGTGTGAGTTCCATATACTTGGGAGACTGAGGCGGAAGGATGTCTTGAGCCCAGAAGCAGGCTGCAGTGAGCCGGATTCATGCAACTGCACTGGAATACAGAGTGAGACTCTGTCTCAAGAAAAAACAGAACAAAACAAAATAATAATAAATCATCAGATGTGGCATTCTCCATGTAAGTCAAACAGAATTATAAGGAATTAATTTAAAACACAGTAGCAGTTAACATTTGTAGCAATTAGAGTGGGCCAGGCAGTCTTCTAAGCTCTTTCTGTCTTAACTTCCCAATTATTCTTTAAGGTTGTTTTTATTTTACAGATGAGGAAACTGTAGCTTTGAGTGCAAGTAGCTTATCCAAGTTACACATCAAGTATGAGATGGAATTTGAACTTAAAACTAGGCCATGTGCTCAGTCACTCTGCTACACTCGAATTCATTTTTGAAGACTAGCTTGTTATGCAATCTTGAACTCAAGTTCTTCCAGGGTTCAGTTCCCCTAATAGTAAAATCTAATACTGAGAAGAGATATAAAAAGCACTTCTGAAAATTCACTTCATGATGAAAATTTTTTTTTTTGAGTTGGAGTCTCACTCTGTTACCCAGACTGGAGTGTAGTTGCTGCTCCTGGCCACTGCAGCCTCGACCTGCTGGGTTCCGGTGATCCTTCCGCCTCAGCCTTCTGAGTAGCCAGAATTACAGGCGTGTGCTACCACGCCTGGCTCATTTTTAAAATTTATTGTAGAGATGAGGTCTTCCTGCCCAGGTGGGTCTCGAACCCGCGGGCTCAGGCAATCCACTCACCTCAGCCTCCCAAAGGCACGGGATTACAGGCTGAGCCACCGAGCGTAGCTCATGATGAAAATTAAAGCTAACATTAATACTGCTATGGGAGCAAAGGGAACTTTTATAGAATCTTTTTTTTTTCTTTTTTGAGTCAGAGTCTCACTCTGTTGCACAGGCTGGAGAACAGTGGCATAATCATGGCTCATCACAGTCTCAAACTCCTAGGCTCAGATGATCCTTCTGCTTCAGCCTTCTGGGTAGCTGGAACTACAGGCGTGTAACACCCACCACTCTCGGCTAATTTTTAAATGCTTTTTGGAGAGACGGGATCTTGCTATGTTGCCTAGGCTGGTCTCAAACTCCTGGGCTTAAGCAATCCTCCTGCTTTGGCCTCCCAAAGTTCTGGGCTTACAGGTGTGGAGCTACCATGCTTGGCCTATGCAACCATCTTTAAAGTATCACATAATTGATCATTTTATTTCACCATTTGGCTTTTGGAAGTTGGATGACTAGACTTTAGGAACTGTCACAGTTCTGTTTATTTTCCTCCTATTTTTTATCTTTGGAATCTTGGAATAAGATGCTCTCTGTGAGATTGTTATAGAAAATATAAATTAAGTCTGTAGAAGAGTGGGAGTAGTGGGAGTATTTACCGTGCACAAGTTCAGGGGGCTACTATAGGATATAATTATGAAAATAGTTCCTCTTAAAATGAAAAGTTTAATGAATTCCTGAAGGAACTTTATGAGTCAGTTACAAAGAAGTCAGGACAGGTTAGTAACTTGCCCAAAGTAGTGAAAAACACCAGTGAACTTAAACATAAAGATGTCACATAGGAAATTCCTTAGTTTTAGCCACAGGATGATATTTCACATCTGGTCTTTTTGCCTCTAAGAATATGGGGATCTGAGTGTGCTTTCAAACGTTCTAATCTCCTTGTGGAGTGGAGAAAGGGCCAGAGGCCTGAACCCAGGAGTTCAAGTTCTCGGTGGTTGCACTCCTTGTCCCGGGCCAAGCCATTCTCCTTTAGCCTGAGTTTCCTCATCTGTAAAAGGAAGTGGATGGCTCTGATAACATATATGGTATCCTATATGTCTATCCATCCTATCATGTGCAAGACCCTCCTGGAGGGTAGCGTGTGAATATCATTCAAACACCAAAGACACAGGCTGTGGGAGAAAAGTTATGTAGTCCAAAATATTGACCACATGCCTGCAGTGTGGCTGGCATTGTTATAGACAGGGAGGATACCAATGTGAGTGAACCTGGATCAGACTTATCGGTGAACGGTGGTCCTACAACAGTGCTGCTGAGTCCCTTTCACCTCATAACATACAGTTATTTTTGCCCATCCCATGTGTGTCAGCCCTGTTCTAGGTACTTGGGATTCCCCAGTGAGCAGAATAAATTCCCTGTCTTGGTGCTTGCATTCCAGGAGGTGAGGGAGATATAGCAGATGATTACTGCGTTGTATGTTGGAAGGTCATGGTGCTGAGGGAGAGAAGTAAGAAGCTGGGTAAGGGTGGTTGAGTGTGAGGGGATCATTTTTCAGTGTTTAAATGGGAGTTAAAGGAGACAAGGGATTAACCAAGCAGATCTCTGATGAAAGAGCATACCAGACAAAGAAAAACAGGAAAAAAAGGTCTTCAGTGTCTGCCAAGGTGGAGTGGGAGCAGCAAAGAGGCTGGCGGTAGTAGAAGGGGCTCTGAGGTAATGGGATTGGGTCATGACTCCATGGGAGCCATTATAAGAGATGTAGAAAATTGCCCTAAAGGATTATTATCCTTTTTGGCACATTTCTACGGCATATTAGGAGGAGTTGGAGAAGATGCTTATGGCTGGAGGGAAGAGGACTCCAGCCCCGTGAAGCCTACCTGCTGCCTGAGAGGCTGAGGGGATCTGGAGCTCTGCATACCTGTGACCTGTTTGCAACTTACTTGCAAACAGCTCTGCCTTCCTGCTTGCAGAGAGAATTTGAATCCCTGGCACGTGCCAGGCTCTCTGTGGGACGTTCTCTACGTATGTGGTTTCATGTACTCCTTACAACAAACCTGTGATGTGCAGGAGTTATTGTCTCCCTTTTCACATTCAGGAAATAGGTCCAGTGAAGTGAAGTAGCTCCAGTTTTCTTTTTTTTTTTTTTTTTGTCCCTTTAACTTTTGCTGGGCTTCTCTGAATTTTCAGCGTTCTTGCTTAAAAAGTATTGAAATGTTTTTACAGCTTTACAATTACAAATTTTTTTTTCTTGTTTCCAAGGTCATTCCCTAATAAAAATGTTGTACCCTGTACCTTTTTGCCCAGTAATTAGGTAAAGACGTTAGTGATCCTCTTTGAGGAGTGGTGAGGATCATTAGGTAAAGACCTTAAGGATCCACTTTGGGGAGTGAATAAAATGTGATCAGCGTATGGATGCTTGTTTTAGAATTGGAGTAGAAATCTGTTAACATTTTCCCAAACTTCTCAAAAATGGTGTTTGTCCTATGTGATTTTTTTTTAAATCTAAGTATTTTCTAGAGAGATTCCTTAAAAATAAGATGAGTGTGCTTATAATATAGCTCTTGCTATTCTAAAATCCACTAGCGAAAGGGGGAATATGGCATAACTTGAAAAGAGGGATAAGAAACAAGTTGTGCCCTTGCAGGTGAAGACTGTGGGTCCTAAGGCCACAGAGGCCCTGCAGCCTTGTGTTAGTAATCCCATGACTGCTGGAAGGTTACAGTCAGTTTGTTTTCATGTAGGCCCAACACGAGAAGATCATCTCTCAGCACCAAGCAGTCATCCTAGCCACTCAGTCTGCACAAGTGCTGCTTGAGAAACAGGGTCACTACCTCTCTCCAGAGGAGAAAGAGAAACTACAAAAGAACATGAAGGAGCTGAAAGCGCATTATGAAACCGCACTGGCCGAATCGGAGAAGAAGGTGAAGTTAACGCACTCTCTGCAGGAAGAATTGGAGAAGTTTGATGCTGACTACACCGAGTTTCAGAACTGGCTCCAACAGTCAGAACAGGAACTAGAGAACCTGGAGGCAGGAGCAGATGACTTCGACGGTTTAATGACCAAGTTGAAGAGGCAGAAGAGCTTCTCGGAAGACGTTATTTCTCACAAAGGCGACTTGAGATACATCACAATTTCTGGCAGCAGGGTGTTAGAAGCTGCTAAATCTTGCAGCAAGAGAGAGGCTGGCAAGGTTGACAAGGATAACATTGACACTTCTGTGACCCACAGAGAAGTGCAGAGCAAATTGGATCATGCTACGGATCGGTTCAGGTCTCTCTACTCTAAGGTAATTCTAGTTTTATTTTTTAAGAGAAAGATGAATCGGTGATGTTATTTTTTACTCTGTCCCTTAACTTTTGTTGTGGAACTAGAGCAAGAAACCTAAGAAGCCCATCCTAGCTACCTACTTTACTTCTTTAAAATGTGTTTAAAGCTTAGGAGCTTAAAGTTAGTTTTGAGAGCGTGATTTCCAGAAAGCCCAGCTCTGAAACGCTCTAATACAATATGACCGCCAGATGGCGTTGAGGTGTTGCCTCTGAGCAAAGTTGAGCAAAGAGCGTATCTTGTAAAGTTGAGCAAAGAGCGAAATTGTGATAAGCTTGGGAACTGAAGATTCATCTCAGATTATTCTCTTCACAAATATTGTAAGTTTTTGCCTTGCAGATATATTTGATCATTATATTACTTTAATACTTAACGACTAACAGACTTCTTTCTTTCTTTACTTTTTGGACAAGTAAAAGTGTTTTCTTTAAAACAAAATCTAAGAAATATTTCCTTGTTTGCAATGCAAGGTAAACAGACTTGCCAAATTGCATAAATGATTTGATGACCATCGTTGGCTCTTGGACTTTGTTTCATTCTAATGTAGACTGTTGACCTGCTGTCAACCAATAGAAATAATTTATTAAGACCTTTAAAGCCTTTCCATCAAGTACACATCTCCCATCCAAGCACTAACCAGGCCCAACCTGCTAAGATTCCAAGATCAGACAAGATCAGGCGCATGCAGGGTGGTATGACCACAGACTCCACCATGTGTAAAATCCTTTGAGAATATGCTCTGGTAGATCTTCTTCCTCTAATGCTTGACATCTTTATTCTTAATTCTGAATTAAGACCCAGCCCTTATAAATATGTTTTTGAATTGGTATAAGCCTAGAACTGTCCCCCTCATGTTATGGTTACTTTTGGGTTTCTTAGCGAATGCTTCCTCAGATAAAGGAGAAAGATTAGCCCTACAGAGTTTACATTATCTTTGGATAAAGTCTGTTTTGTTTTTTCCTAAGTCACATAGTTCATAGGTCCTAAGGTTACTTGATGCATATGAAAATAGTGGGTTTTAATCTCTCACCCCTTTTCTCTTTTGGTTTTCAGTGCAACGTTCTTGGAAATAATCTTAAGGACTTGGTGGATAAATATCAACACTATGAAGATGCTTCCTGTGGACTTCTTTCTGGACTCCAAGCCTGTGAGGCCACAGCGAGAAAACACTTATCTGAACCTATTGCTGTGGACCCCAAAAATCTGCAAAGGCAGTTAGAGGAGACCAAGGTAAAAGGGGGGGGGGACAGAGAGAGAGAGAGAGATACCTAGTCCTTCTGTAGTCTTACTGAAAGGATTCTATCATCTCACACTTTGTGACAGTTTCATCTGGAGCAGGTGAACAAATGATGTGAAAAGTATACTCCTCCCTCCAGAAGGAGAGGGAGTTAAAACTCTGTTTCTCCACAGTTTATTTAATTTTGACATTGCTGTTATGATGTGTTACCTGCATTCTACTCCCTACCCCCCAAACAAGACCCAGTATCGTCCAGCTCAATTATTTTTCTTTATACCTACTTATTTTGTTCATTGTTTTTCTCCTCTTTTAGAATCAAACTCTGTGAGGACAGGTGTTTTTGTCTGTTTTGTTTGTTACTGTATTCCCAGTACCTAAAACAGTACCTGGCCCAAAGTAGGTACTCCTTACATTTGTCTAAGAATGGACAGGTGGAAGAAAAAGGAATGTCATATTTGGGGGCCATATTTGGGGGTCCCTGTTGAGTATCTTCATATACATAGAGACACAAACTTCAGATATTAACTAGCACAGTTCTGAAAAAGTCATTACTCTTTCAGCAATGCAGGCTCAATGTCAAAATTGCCTAACTGTGGGAATCTCAGTCATGCCCCCAGTGGCAGCGAGTCTCGAATCTGTTTTTAAAGCATATTATGAAATTATAAAGTAAGGGGAGAAAACTTATAAAATATTTTATTCAACATGGCCAATCATTTTAAGTTTGAAGGTTGCATTTTATAGCTCTATGATTCCTTTGAGCAGGTGAATAACAGCAGGTGCCGTAGCTAGAGTATAATCACGGTATTGCCAGCTAAACAACTGCCTTTCAGTATTTCACTGCTTAGATACAGAGCGCTATCTATGCATCACTGTGCTGCTAATGAGGAAAACAGGTACCCTACCGGGCAAGCTTAAATATAGGACTTGCCTGAGACTGACAACTTCTGGCTAGAAGAAAGTCGTTCTACCTGGGGTGAAATGTGGCAGGTGAAGGCCAAGCAGCGAGACGCTCATAAGAGAGAAGGAAGCATAGGATGGGAGGAGGACAGAAGAGAGTGAGCAGGTAGAGAGGGTGGAGGGCATGGCTTCCTACCCAGCCCTTCAGTGGACACCAGAGAGATGTCCCAAGCCAGGTCAGCTTCCCAGATTGATGCAGCCTTCCCAGGGGTTGCCTCCTTCCTTCTGGTGTGCATTTTCAGTACTGGTTTTTTGTCTTTTGTTTTTATTTTTCTTTTTATCTTCCACAAGTATAAGAACAGATCTATCTTAATTAACTTTTCAGTTCCCACTTGATTATGTATTCAAGGATAATATATGTGGTGGCGCAGAGGAGATACTGTGACATGAAGGTTATTATTTCAGTAGGAAATTTCAATAGTTTAAAGGAATAAGAATGCCTATGTTACATTTAATTAGGAAGTTGACTATTTTAAAATGTAATAAATAAATAAAATAGAAATAATGCATTTTAAATTAGATCTATATTAGGAAACAGATTATATCCTGTATAAAAGTAATTTTCTTATAACTAGAGGAAAAAAAGAAAAACTTTAAAGAATGCTATGGCTTTTGAATTAAACAGATAAGTGGATTAATTTTAAGGCAGAAGAATGTCTTTAGTAAATACTGCAGAAGAAGACTTCTCTAGTCCCAAGGCAATTAAAGAAATATGAAGAGGAGAGAGATATCTGAAAGAAGAAAGAATTCCAATTAGTTACAGCATAAATTTAAAAATTAAACGTATAATTCAGATATTCCTAACATGTATACATATTTTTTCTCACAAAACATCTTAGAATGTATCAAGAATAGATTTTTATGAGGATTAGGTAGCTTCCATTTCTCTTATTTTTATTAAAAAAATTTTTACCATTACTTTTCCTTTAGCAATAATATAAACACATAAGACTACTACAAAAAAAGTTAGTCTTTTCTACATTTAACATGCTATCTTTTACTTCCATTCTACTGTATAATAAATGTAATTTGGGGGCACCCAATTAATTCACTTGAAATATTTCTGTCTAATACACGTTATTATTAGCATTAGTATTCAAAGAACTGTTAACCACGTTATCAACAGTCTGATATTCCTCATGATCCCCTTTCAGGGAAATCAGTGGATAAATCAAGATTTTAGCCTCATAAGAAGCATAATCAACAGAATCTTGGGGCCAGGCTAGTGGCCTGGCTTTGGAACCAGGCCTGGGACCAGATTGTGTTGACTGATGACATTGACCATCCAGGCTTCCACTGATCTCTGGGATGGTGTTAAGTCAGGAAACTTTTATGAGCTGGATGAGTGCCCATAGCTTTAGAGACGCCATCCTTTTCTGGTCCAGGCAAAGGGACCAAGGTCATAGTCTTGCAGTATTTCCTGTCAGATTATTTCATGTTTCAATTTCATTGAAATCTATTCATTATATAAGGTACCCATCTGAATACCTTAATTTGCAGTTTTGTTCCAAAGTAACACTGTAAACCACTATGGTTGTTAAATTACAATTCAGTACTTGGTAGGAATTAAAAACTATTAGCTCTCTTGACTATAATTAGGGAGGGTAAAGGCATGGGTTTTAAAAAGAAGAGTTCGGAAGGAGAGGGAGCAGAGGATAGAGAGAGGTTTGTTAGTGGATACAAATTACAGTTAGATAGGAGGAATAAGTTCTAGTGTTCTATAAATACTGTAGGATGAATATAGCTAACAGTATTTTATTGTCTGTGTTCAAAAAGCTAGAAGAGAGGATTTAAAATGCTTCCAACACAAAGAAATTAATAAATGTTTGATGAATGTCCTAATTATTCTGATTTGATCATTACACATTGTATACATATACAGAAATACTATTCTACATTTCCTAAATATGTACAGTTATTATATATCAACTAAAAAGAAAAAAAGGTATTCTTATCTGTAAAAAAAGAAAAGAGTTGCTTCCTATTCATTTCTAAGTTTTAGGCTAGTAGGCAGGGCCATCTTTGGCGTTGGCGGTTTTTATGGAACCTTGATAATTTTTACGTGTATTTATTCATGCAGTAAACAATTGTGTTCTGGGTTTTGTGAAGTGAAGGCACAAATGTTAAAACCCTGCCCTTGCTGAATTCATATTCTAAAAAAAATTTAGGCAGGATGCCCCTCACTTTATTTTGTCTCTCAAATAACCATGTGGTATAAGAAGCTGGCCCTGTGGCCTAGAGTTCAGTCTGGTTACAGGTACAGTTTATGTCTTGAGGGATTTTTTACACTTTCTGTAATGAAACCTCTGGGAGAATGTCCCAAACAGATCCACTCTGATGAGGATTCTTTGCCCTCTTGAAACACCTGTACGAGCTTGTATTTTAGATCCAGTGTAGGCCAAAATTTGGTGGGCCTTTTGACATATGCATGGGCTCCCTGTATGTCATTACAATTTCTTGGATTATAAACATTAGTTGAGGAAATTTTTGCCATTAGCTTTAGACACTTATTTTAAACAACAACAACAATAAGTAAGACTGAAATAGAAGAGAACCTTTTCAGGTATTGCACCTTGATATCCTCATTTGTTTACTTAATCATTCATTTATCCTAGAAAATTTGATTGGAGCCTGCTATGTGTCAATCACAGGTCTAGACACTAGTAATAGAGAGCTGAGTAGGATGAATTCCTAGTTCTCAAGAAGGCTATAGTATGATCAAAGAGAAAGATAAATCTGATAATGTCACAGTATTCATGGGAACTCCTGAGGAGCATACCCAAGGAGTGAGGAATGTTTTCCAGGTGAGTATTAAAGGCTGAATAAGAGCCAGGTTCAGGATGGGGCAGGTTGCCTGAAAAGGCTGATATGTAGAGATGTTAAGGCATTGAGTCCAGCGTAAGTAAATAGCTAAGCAATAGCTATGATGTTGGCCATTTCTGGAACAGGAAGTAGACAAAGATGAGATAGAAGATAGAATTAGGGAATCACTTTCATTGGACCTTTTTTTTTATCAAGGAGAGCTACTAAAAATTTTAAACAGGGGAGTGACATACGTTCAGCTATGTATTTTAGATAAAACACTTTGGGAAGTATATTAGAGAAGTGATCAGAGGCAGGGGCACAGTTAGGAGTCTTTGTTCAATACTCTGAGTAAGAGATTATCCTGCAGTGATGCAGAAATACATAGGAAAAGTCAGCTTTCAAAAGTATGTGTGGGCCAGGCATGGTGGCTCATGCCTATAATCATAGCACTTTGGGAGGCCGAAATGGGAGGATCACTTGAGCCCAGGAGTTCGAGACCAGCCTGGGCATCATAGCAAGACTTAATCTCTACAAAAAATAATTTTAAAAATTAGTCAGGCATGGTGTGACGCAACTGTAGTCCTAAGCTACTTTGGGAGATTGAAGCAGAAGGATTACCTGAGCTCAGGAGGCCGAGGCTGCAGTGAACTATGATTGTGCCACTGCATTCCAGCCTGAACAGCAGAGTGACAGCCCAACTAAGACCAAAAAAAGCTGAAACACAAGAAAATATGAAGCAGATAAAATAGCCAAGGCTTGGTTCTTGTTTTGCATATGGAAAAGAAGTCTTGGAGAGGATGGAGTCTAGGAGGGGCCTCCAGTTTATTACTTGGGCAATTAGAGACAACTCTAAGAAAAAGTACAGGTATGGGGAATGAGTTGATGAGTTCAGATTCAGCCTTTTAGAGTCTGAGGTGACTCTGTACACCCAGATGGAAACATTCAGAGACAGTTGGATACCTGGGCCCACAGCCAGGGGTGAGTTCATTTACAGCTGGACAGATGGGACTTTGAAATCCAAATGCAAGAGCAGAGGAGCTGGAGTCCCTTAAATGACATTAAAGTCAAGCATGGGGTCTGTGTGGCCAGGCAACCCACTTTGGCAGAGAACTGTCAAAGGTCTTAAGAACGCAGGGCCAAGCGTCCGGAAACTTTGTCTATGGCTCTCGCTATTCATTCCTTTTGTTGAACCACGTCTGTTCACTTAGAGGCCTGCAGGGACCTCTAGCCAGTAAATTCAAGGACTCATTAGTCTTTTGGTTTACATGATCCTTTCTGAAGCAATTGACACTGTTAACCTTTTCCACTTTCTCTCTTCCTTTGAGCTTTGGGGACAGATTTATTCTGGGCCCTCTTCCACCTTCCTGGTCACATTTGTTCTGTCTCTTTTTCCTCTTCCCAGCACGTAAATGTAAATAGCCTCTATGGTTCTTTGTAAGTTCCTTCTCTGGGGTTTCTGACTTTCCCTTCAGCAGTTCCGTCTTGTTTCTTGACTTCCAATTCTTTATGTCTAGTTCCAGCTTGTGTCTAGAGTCTCCTCTGTTTCCAGCTTTGCTGTTGCCTTCTAAAGGAGGGTCCTAAAAGCACTCTGAAATCATGAATTCCAATAAGTTTGCTCTCACTTTTGTTTATAAATTCTGCTAATTACCTAGGCTCAAAATCTTTGGATACTTTTCTCGTCCTTTCTTCCCAACCTTTTGAGCAGTGCTGTCTGACAGAACATTCTGTGATTACATGATTTAGAATCTGCTCTATCCAATATGGCCACCACTAGTCACATGTGGCCACTTGAAACGTGGCTAATGCCACTGAGGGATAGCATTTTTTATTTCATTCTTTATTTCAACTAATTTAAATTTTAGAAGCTACATGTAGTTAGTGGCTACCACAGCGGGCAACACAGCTTTGGATACTGTTACCAAGTCCTTTGAACTCTACCAACTCTGTAACTAAGTCTACTTTTTCATTGCAGACAGACTGAGAAGTGGGATAGTCCTTAGTCCTCAGTAGTTCTCTCTGCTTTGTTACTGCCCAAGCTGACCTCGATGGTTTCTCTGATTTATTTCTTTCCTACTGAATTTTTCTCATGCAGTGCTACGAATTTAGCTTTCCAAAGGGAAATGCTGAACATGTCAACACCTTACTCAAAAGCCTTGAATCACTAACTAATTGCTGTGAAGTAAAATGTAAATTCAGCCTGACATTTGAGTCCTTGCCAGTCCTGTTTCTGTTTATTCATCCATACACATTCTCAAACTGGAAGGAACTATCTCTTCTGTGATTTTTCTGTCCCCATCTTTGTCTTCTGCTTGTTCTACAGGAAAATGTCCTCCTAAATCCGTGTATTCCTCAGGGTCCATCTCAGTGCCACTACCATCAAGGTGACCCTCATTTCCCTGCCCAGTTTTTCTTCCTTTTAACTTCCAGTAGCACTTTTTCTTAACTCATCTTTGGCACCTATCACTTCCTGCCTCAGACTATAATATCCCTGAGAGGAAGCTTTGTGTCTGTTTTTATTTTTATGTTTTTACAAAATGTAGCAAGACTTTTTGAATTTGTTAGATGTTCAGTAACTTCTGTTGAATTACCAGGAATAAACATGGCTCGCTATTGATTTAGGATCTACTGATATGGACATCCTTAATTAACTGTTTACTTGGAGTTAGAAATGGTCCCAAAGGTTTTTTTGTTTTGTTTTGTTTTGGTGATAGTTTGGTGATTATACAAAGCCTGGAAGTGGGGATTAAGGTGGAATTCAGACTAAAGTTGGAGGGTTGTAAGATCAGAAACCAGGCAAATTATTAGGAACATATGTTCAGGGTTTATTCCGACACTGAGTTTGCATTATCCAGACTAGCTGATTTTTTGCTAATGCTGCTTTATAACTGGTCTTACTCTAAGTACTCTGGAATAAGTTTATGGTGATGAAATGTACTCTGCCAAGTTTAACTTTATCACATTATAAATCATTTTTTTTTTTGTATTAGAAATCTATTGTTTAGTCCTACTGAGTGTAATTGAAATGCATTTAATCCTACAGGCTCTGCAAGGACAGATATCAAGTCAGCAGGTTGCCGTAGAGAAACTGAAAAAAACAGCAGAAGTGCTTTTAGATGCCAGAGGGACTCTACTTCCAGCCAAGAATGACATCCAGAAAACACTTGGTAAGATATTCATTCATTGGCTTCTTTTTCATCTCACAGGAAAATTCTCAATAAAGGTATTCTAATAGAAATGATGAAAAATATCCACCATTTATATATTGTGTTAGGCCGGGCTTGGTGGCTCAGCCTGTAATCCCGCACTTTGAGAGGCCGAGGTGAGTGGATTGCCTGAGCCCGTGGGTTCGAGACCTGCCTGGGCAACTTGGCGAGACCTCATCTCTACAATAAATCAAATCAAAACATTAGCCAGGCGTGGTAGTTCGCGCCTGTAGTTCCAGCTACTTGGAAGGCTGAGGTGGAAGGATCACTGGAGCCCGGCAGGTCGAGGCTGTGGTGGCCAGGAGCGGCCACTGCACTTCAGTCTGGGTGACAGAGTGAGACTCCAACTCAAAAAAATTAAAATTAAAATTAAAAATATATATTGTGTTACTTGTGTTCTTTCTCTGTGGAATGGTGTTCCTGAATCTGGGAAAAGGCATGACTTCTTTGGAAAGTATATTACAATCTTAGGGGTAGAGGCTGTGTAGCTTGAAAAAAAGTACATTTAAAATTTAGTTTTATATTTAGAAAATATAACAGAAACTCTTTATGTAATGTCCAATGCAGGATATAGAACTTTACAAAATTCTCTTGAATGATGGGTAATTAATGGGACTGGGCAGAGGTAGACTTTCAACCTCGGGACAAATAATAGACTCAGGATTTTTATTAATCATGAGTGTAAGAGGTTGAGAGATGTGCTTTAAAACCGTGTTTCCACTTCTCTGTGTTCTGAAAGTATTTGAGTGGCTTCACTCAAACTAAGGGTTCCAGTTACTCCAATTCTTCAGTGACACTAGAAACTTGGGTACAGTTGCAGTAGTACTTTTGTGCCCTTTTACATTAATGTATTTCTTCTGTGTTAGATGAATGTACATTAATATTAATATTTCTTCTTGATAGATGAGCTACTATGTATTACTCTTTGTTTCCACAATATTTATTTTATACCAAATGCACAATGAATTACCAATGATTTTTTAAACTGTCTTGTTGTATGTATTTTTTGGTTTAATTTTGCTGCTTTTCACAATATTTAATGTGTGGATTGAGGTTATTTTATATTTCTGTGTGTGAATGTGAGAAGCAAAAACTTTCCACAGCAGATAACTGGACATATGTTTCACCCCAATTAGAACTTGAGTTAAAAACATGAGTAGAAACTTTAAATGGATGGAATTTTGCTTTTAGGCACTCTATATAAGGGAAACTCTTTTTTCATTCTTATATCCAAACTTTTTAAATTATGCATCCCATCAAAAGTGGTTTTTTAACTTGCACCTGAATATATGCAGATATATTTATTAATATAAATTATATACATGTTACTATAGTATATTATGTGTGCTATTTAAAAAATATCATATTTTAAATCATAAGATGAAGATACAAATAGAAGTTCTAACATCTTGTTCCTCTCTCCCAATGTACCATTTTGTATATCCACATTGGAGACCACTGCTGTGAGGACTAGAGTGTAGGGTTTTGAAGGAGAAAAAAAGACTACCTTACTTGTATTTCTGTTATTTGAAGAGGTACTTTGACATTTTCCTCATTGTTAAGTGTACAAAGTTTCATTTTTAGTTATTTAAAATTAATTTTCTACTTTATTTTAATACTTTAAAACGTCTCTGTGGCATAATTTTCTAGGAATATGTAAAACTGTATTTAAGATATAGAAGAGTTTCTCAAAGGTCTTTCCAACCTCTAAGAAAACCAATGGCCTTTAAAAATAATGTTCTTATAGTAGACTTTGCTTTCCTTTTTCTAAAAAAATTTTAGTTACTAACATCAAGATTTCAGTGACAATATTTTGTCACTGAGAATTACAGAATAAACAGTGTCTTAGTTTGGGCTGCTGTAACAAAAATACCATAGACTGGGTGGCTTAAACAACAAGCATTTATTTCTCATTGCTCTGGAGACTGGAAGTCCAAGATCAGGGTACCAGTGTCATCAATATCCTGGTGAGAGCCTTCTACCTGCCTTATAGATAGTCCCTATCTTGCTAGTAAAGAGTGGTAGAGAGAGAGATTATCTCTCTTACTTTTTTCTTATAAGGGCACTAATACCACTCACAAGTTCTCTACCCTCATGACCTAATTAAATCCACAGAGAGATGTGAAAAACCTTAGTGTTTTGCTCATTCTCACAGATCATTCAACTCAACACAGAACACTTCTGTGACCAAATGTGTGGAGATTTCCCCCTGTATACCATGCAGGTTCTCTAGCAGGTACCAACTGAGTGTCCTATAATTCAATTTAATTCTGATACTGTCTACTTAGAGTTTGCATCAGACCCCACAGGTTAAGGGCTCAGTCTCACAAAACTACCCCCACTTTAGATGCCAATCATAAGTCCCAAATTATGACCTGTACTTCAGATGAAACAGTTATAAGTCTGGGTTCCATGACCCTCCTCGGGTTCAGTTAATTTGCTAGAGTGGCTCACAGAACTCAGGGAAAAACTTTCCTTGTATCTACCCATTTATTATAAAGGATATTACAGAGGATACTTATGAACAGATAGATGAAAGAAATGCATAGGGTGAGAGACAGAGAAAGGGATGTGGGACTTCCATACTCTCTCTGGGCATGCCACCCTCCAGAAACCTCCACATGTCCAGTTGTCTGGAAGTTCCCTGAACCCAGTCCTTGTGGGTTTTGATAGAAGCTTTATTACCTGGGCATGATAGATTACATCACTGGCCATTGATGTCAACTCAACCATCAGCCCCTCTCCCCTCCTTGGAGGTCTACGGGATGAGACTGTAAGTTCCAACTATCTAATCACATGGTTGGTTCCTTTGGCAACCATTTCCTCCATACCTCCATCTTGAAACTGTCCATCTTGAAACACACCAAGCGTCACCTTATTCAAAAAAAGATGCTCCTGTCACCCTTGACTTTTCAAGGGATTTAGGAGCAGTGTCAGATACTCCTCTATCACTCAGGAACTCACAAAGTTCTTAGGAGCTCTGTGTCAGGAACTGGAGCCAAAGACCTTATGTCAGAACAAAAGATTTTCCTGATGTCCCAATTTCTGAGGCAATCACAGGGGTTTTAGGAGTTCTATGTCAAGAACCACAGTCAGAGGCCAAATTTCTTCTTAGATCATAATATCACATCTTCCAGAGGTCTCTCCTACAATGCCATCACACTGGGGCTTAGACTTCAACATATGGATTTTGGGGGGATATAGACATTTAGTCTGTGGCAAACAGTAGTACTCAAAATGTGTTAATTATATGCAAATAATTGGCTTTCCTTGGGAAGCCAATCATGGTGGATGAACAGATCTCCAGTGTCACCCAGTTGATGCAGAGTTTCGCAATTTTGAAGCCACTAACCTGCCAATCTCCAAGCTGAGGTTCAGAGCGTCTGCTTTTGTGACTTTCAAAATTTGAAGCCGCTGCTTGTTGTCCTTGGCATCTTGGTGTATATTAAATGCAGTCTCTCCCTCCCACTCGGCATTTGTATAGGCTTCGTTGTGCTTTAGTAAGAGGCGCATGATTTTCTCTTTAAATCATCTAAACTTAACCTCTCAACCCAGTGAAAATTTGTCCAGTTGTTTCTTATGATGTAGCATGAGACCAATAAAAAAGAAAGATTGTTTTATTATGTGGTTTATATTTCATGGGCCAAAAAAAAAAGCATGTAATATATTTCGTTTAATAGAGATGTTTCAGGTCACAGCTTTCTTCTACAGAAGCATTCTGCAATGTATCAGCCTAAAGCATTCAGAAATAATTAAAATACTTTTCAAATTCCTGGACAGTAGTGATAAATCAAATTCAGGATTAAAAACATTGTTTTCCAGAGAGAAATAAACGAATATGTTAAAAACCATTTGGCGCAGTGGCTCAGCTTGTAATCCCAGCCCTTTGGGAGGCTGAGGCAAGAGGATTACCTCAGCCCAGGGGTTCAAGACCAACCTGGGCGATATGGGTGAGACCTCGTCTCTACAATAAATAATAATAATAAAAAAAAAAACCAGATATAGTAGCATGCACCTGTAGTTACAGCTACTTGGAAGGCTGAGGTCGAGACTGCGGTGGCCATGAGTGTGCCACTGCACTCCAGCCTGGGTGACAGAATGAGACTCCAGCTCAAAAAAAACCATTGCTCTTTGAACTTCTCATTTGTCTACAATATAGAATGTAGGCTGTTAAAATGTAGAACTATAGTCACATGAAAACTAGGCCAGAAAGGATTTTTCAGAATCTTAAATCTTTAAAATTGAAAGTAAAATGTATCTCATGTGAGATAGGTAAACCTGTTAAGTTTATTTTCCCCTTTTGTCTGCTATTAAACTTTTAAATAAATTCTATTTGTGTATATTTGCAAAGCATAATCTCACTTTGGGTGTATTTTCATTGTTGTCTATTTTCTTTTTTTTTTTTAAGATGTGGGGTACAACTCAGAATTAGGTATACAAGTGGTTATCATACAGGTAAAGTTTGGGCCTCCCTTTGGTCCCCACTTTGCCTGGTTTGAGATCAGTTATGCTTATTGATGTTGTGTTCTCTATTTTCTTAATTCACTTGCCTCTGCCAGTTTATGTGCACTTGAGTACTTTGCTTAGGTTGTGAAGGATGACAAAGGCTTAACATATGCTTGTTTGAGGGGGGAAGAAAGAGAGATAATTTTTATATGTAAAAGTTAATTCTCTATAAACCATTATAACTGCATCTTGTATTGAGAATAGCTATATATGACTGTCACTCTTCCCCCTCAATGATTATTTGTAAGTGTGACTAATAGGAAATGTCAGATTGAGAACCAGTATTTACTCCAAAAGTTTGCTGTTTGGACCGCTCTTTTATCACTCTGGGACAATTCAAATGTATATGCATCTAAAAAATCTGTTTTCAAATGCAGATTATATACTTATTAACTTTTATTTTTTAAAGATTTTGTTTGTCATTTTTCACTGGGCTCTTGTCTTTCTTTATCCTTTAAGGTTTTAGGTGATGTTCTGATTATACATTATGAATTTATCAGTTAAACTTTTTTTCTTTTTAAAATTTTTGTGTGGAAATGTGATGATTCACCTTGGTGTGTTTTTGAAAAGGAATCAGGCCAAGAGAACTTTGTGGCTAACACTTTCTGTTCTGTTTGGATTAGATGAGATTGTTGGGAGATACGATGGTCTTTCCAAATCTGTCAGTGAACGAAATGAAAAGCTCCAGATAACCCTGACCCGTTCCCTGAGCGTGCAGGACGGCTTGGATGAAATGCTGGACTGGATGGGAAGCGTGGAAAGTTCTCTGAAAGAACAAGGTCAAGTGCCCTTAAACTCAGCTGCCCTTCAGGATCTCATCAGTAAAAACATGGTAAGTGATTTCAGAAAAACAACAACAAAAAAACCCACTATGTTTTTTAAAAAGCAGTTTTATAAGCTCAACGTGTAGGTGGATTTAAGATCAATTTGAGGATACCAAAAAGAGGCATTTCCTGAATAAAACAGGAAATGTTTTATTGCACAAAATCAAGTGTGTAAACGATTTTCCTGTGAAGTATAGAAAGGGCTTTATGGTCTTTTCTTGAATATTATTCATTATCGAGGGCTTATACACACATCGAGTCTTACCTTGTTTATCATGGCTTCAGCCAGCTGCACAGCAGATTAATCAGACCAATCTTGTTGTTGTCTAGCCTTTTAAAAATTAGGACCATGGCTAATCCCTGCGCTCCGTTAGATCCTAGGGGTGGCCGAGAACCTCGTTTAGACAGGGCAGCTAGCCAGCTGTTGCTCACTCTTCCTGGAGGAGATTTGTGATGGGATTCCTCAAGGGACAAGTCAAACTTGTCATTCAGTTTCAGCTGTTCACCTTCTTAGTCACAGGTTGTTCAAGCTCATAATGCTGTGGATAGTCATTTAAAAAATTTTTTTGTCCCATTATTTGTAAACATCACTATAAAACACATGCCATATTTGGTTTATTTCAGATGTTGGAACAGGATATTGCAGGTCGTCAGAGCAGCATAAATGCCATGAACGAAAAGGTGAAGAAATTTATGGAAACAACAGACCCATCTACTGCATCCTCGCTGCAAGCCAAAATGAAGGACCTGTCAGTTCGGTTTTCTGAAGCAAGTTATAAGCACAAAGAAAAACTTGCCAAAATGGAAGAGCTAAAAACCAAGGTTGAATTGTTTGAGAATCTCTCAGAAAAGCTTCAAACGTTTTTAGAAACAAAAACTCAGGCTCTTACTGAGGTAGATGTGCCAGGAAAAGATGTGACTGAATTGTCTCAGTATATGCAGGTATGTCTTCCTGAATACTCTCACAAGGCAGGTCAAGTAGGTTGACAGTTAAGACAAACTCATGCACTTACTGGCAGAATTATTACTATCAATCATCATTTTAATTGCTTATGGATTAGTAAAGATTTATGTTTTTCTCCTTTAAAAATCTTAAACTCTATCTTCTCCTTGAAGCCTTTGCTCATTGAATAAAAATAAATACTATTAATTACACATATCATAGATGTTATAAGTATTACAGAAACTACAACAGGATGAAACATTGGATGCATTAAATAAAGTTTACCTTGTTCTCTTTCACATAACCTATCTGCATGTTTATTATATTTAGAACATTGACCATAATGCTGTGAAATTCTGAATACCTCTGGATGGAATGTTTGAAGATCTAGCAATATCTGTATTGACTAAATGTCTAAATGCTTTATAGGAATCAACTTCTGAATTCTTAGAACGCAAAAAAGATCTTGAAGCTCTGCATAGTCTCCTGAAGGAGATATCCAGCCATGGCTTACCAGGAGATAAGGCTCTTGTTTTTGAAAAAACAAATAATTTGTCAAAGAAATTCAAGGAAATGGAGGATACCATCAAAGAAAAGTAAGCACCACTTAAGAATTGTATGTTGTTCTACTTTACACTAATTAGAATTAATTGCTTTGATTTACTAGCATAGATAACTGAAACAATTTTTATACCTGTTAAGCAGCCTAGAGCTACTTTATAAGTATTTTTAAATTTTAATAATTTTTTGTTATTAAATTTGAGTGTATTATTTGTTAAAATATTTAGGAGGAAAATTCAATACTTCTTACATAAAAGTAGAAAGCATTGCGTAAGAAAAATGGTGGTGATGGTGGTGTATTACTAAAAATGGTCCAAACTGACTACAGCCACTGAAACCTTGGGCAAATATCACATTTTTATTTGCAAAGGCAAAATAACCTTGAAAGACAGCTCACGGTTCTTTGCTTTCTGAGCTCAATTCAGAAACTATGTACAATTTTAATATGAATTTTAAAACATAACAGTTTGCTTTTTAAAGAGTAGAAGGTGAGACATGAGTCCATGAAAAAACAAGATAAGAAACAAGAGAAGGAAACTAAGTTGAGTCAAAAAGCTGTACAGGGCCTTGTGACTGCACTTTTTAATTTCTGGTGTTGTGTTAGTTTAGAATGTACATTGGACTTTGTTAACGTTTATATAGAAGAGTCCCAAAAGATAGAAAATAGCCGTTTCTCTTTCAGCTGCTCTTGTTTATTTCTTCAGAATTCTCTACCTAAAACTTTTGAGTGCTGTCTGTACTTCTCACTAAATTTTCCATCCTGCCATATGATATTTAATTTACATTGCACAGAAGAAACGTTTTGATTTCCTTAGATAACCTGTAGGTCATTTTTTTCTTTCAAATGGATCCAACTTTAAAACCACGTATAATCATCAGTTATTATTCCAGCTGTGGAGTATTCCCATCTGCCAGTGTGCTGCATGCTTGTATACTTGTATGTGTCATCCTTGTGCCAATGTCACTGTCCTCATGGCTGCCCATATGCTAGGCACGTGCAGTCCCTCCGTGGTGCTGAGCAAGCAGAAAGATCCATACAGTTCATCAGGGGGCTTCCTGAGTCCTGTAGAGAAGGCACCCGTGAAAAGTCTCCAGTCACTAGGTTTCATCTCATCTGGGGAGACTTAAATCTGAACTTTACCCATCCACTAAGGTGACTGCAGTATATTGTAGAAACCACTAGGTGGCATCATGTCTTCCTCATGGCAGTGATTTGTAAACGTTTTTCTTCTGGTTCTGTGCCTGCTGGCATTAAGTGTCACATAAAGCAGACAGATCAAAGCTGGTTGAATCTAAATAATGTTACAGCTGTTTCTGTTATCTTGGGGTTTATGTAGCATTACAGAGCACCATTGCATATGGGTTACAGATCTCTGGACTGTTCCTGGCTTCCTCTCTGAACTCTTGCCTGAGGGACAAAGTTATTTAGCTGATTTCACTTGTTACCTGTGAAACCTTTCATCCTATATCAGAGGGTTAGCGTGCACATAGAAGATGTTTTATTTATATTAAGCCTGACATAGGAATCATGATTTATTTATTAATAGTTAGTACTTGGGAGCCTCTTCTTTCAGTGACTTAAATTCTTGTATGATTTTTGTTATCCAGAAAAGAAGCTGTAACCTCTTGTCAAGAACAGTTGGATGCTTTCCAAGTCCTTGTTAAATCATTAAAATCATGGATAAAAGAAACAACAGAAAGTGTACCCATTGTGCAACCTTCTTTTGGTGCAGAGGATTTAGGAAAATCTTTGGAAGAAACTAAGGTGAATCACTGTGTCTAATACTAGTTTTTCATTTGCTTGTGTCAGTAATGAAAGGCTTAAAGACTAATGATGACTTCCTTTGATCCAGTATTGTAGAAGTTAGATCCTCATGTACATGCTGTATATTTTGGTGATCTTTGGAAATCATGACATGGGGTTAACCAATTCTTTTGAGAAAGGACATAAACTTTGAGTTAGTTTGCTTTTTAAAAAATGATGTATTAATGTGTTGCTGACTGTTCTAGTGTTCAAGTTTCCTTCCCTACCACATATCTACTTAGTTTCAGTTACTTTTGGAAACCATTTCTCATAATATTAAGTATCTTTCTCTTCACTCAGAATCTTATTCTAGCTTGTATACCACTATAATGAATATTTGAAGATAGAAGTTATTTGAATCTCTTGCATAAATAGTGCACAAGTCTTTGGCCAGCTGACTCAAGTCATAACACCCATGACCGGTTATGGCAATTTTTCCACTTCAGATTTGTGAGGGTGTGTGTTTTTTTTTTTTAATTCATTGAAATTTCAATGATGAAAACACACTATAAAATGGAATTCTGAATTCTGATTTATTTATTTGTGTTGTTCCTAGTACCTCTTATCTTGTAACTTGACTGTTAACCTAGTACAGTTTTACAGACTTACAGTTAACAGTTACTTTGGAAGCCATGACAACTTGGAATAGCCTGCCTTCCGCTGTGGCCAGGCTTGATCCCACTGTTGACTGCCAACGGTGCTAACAGTCATTTGGGCTGTGGGAACACATAGGGATGGTGTCTTTTTATTTTCATCAACTCTCCTACAAATCAGGGCCCATGATCAGTACTTTGTTAGGATATGTTTAGGAAATTGAATTAGAATGTACAGTTTTGAAAATATGAAGACTGAAAAGCGTGTTTTTATATCTCAAGAAATTACAAGAAAGATGGAGTTTAAAAACATCAGAAATTCAGAAAGTAAACAACAGTGGGATCTCACTATGTAATCTAATAAGTGCTGTGACTACCCCTGCGAAGGCAATAGCAGCTGTTAAATCAGGTATGTGTTTTATTTACACCAATGGCAAAAACTTTAAGAATTATGTTCAATTATGTTAATTTTATTTGTGTATTTTCTTTTTTAGTCAAAGTCTCCCTCTGTCGCCAAGGCTGGAGTGCAGTAGCATGCTCATTTTCACCACAGCCTTGACCTACTGAGCTCAGGCGATCCTTCCGCTTCAGCCTTCTAAATAGCTATAACTACAGGCTTGCACTACTATGCCCAACTAGTTTTTTGATGTATTGTAGAGACTAGGTCTCACCAAGTTGCCCAGGCTGGTCACGAACCCCTGAGCTTAGGCAGTCCTCTTGCCTCTGCCTCCCAAAGTGCTGGGATTATAGGCTTGAGCCACTGTACCCGGCATGTATGCTGTTTTTAAAATTAATGTATAGAATAACTTCAGAAATACAAAGTAATAGTGTCAAGAAAGATGGCATCCATAAGCACACTAAACCGTACCATGGAAAAGTATCTATACTAATCAAATTCCAAATCTCTCTTATGTTTCATTTTATTAAAGACAATAATTAAAATGTAGCCAAATTAATATGTAAGAATAAGGAATGTTATATTGGGGAAGGGGACAACTCTTTTTACCTTCATTAAATGGAGATTTCGTTGAAATTCTACTTGAAATATTTCTCTTCTTATGATAATTTTGTAAAGAAATGAGTCTGGGTTCCAGGGAAAGAAACAAGGGAAGGAAACAGGCTCTTTTCTGTAGAGCGGACCCTCTTTCTTTATTCCCATCTACTTTATTCTGCACACTATTCCCAAAGAAAACAATTATGCACTGTGCTTGCCAGGATATCTGAATCTCGATCTGAGTCATGGCCGGGCCACTCTTCGCTTGTTGAGAAGAGTCATGTATAAATATTGATTCTAAAATTAAAGTGAGTTGTGGGTATAGTTTTTGGATTAAGACATACAATATCAAGTTTAAAAAATAATAAGACAGAAGGCAGCTCTCATCTTTATTCTGAGAGTTATGAGTATCCTCTGTGGTGAATCTGATCTGACAAGTTGCCCCGCTGTCCCTATTGTGACACTGATGTCCCAGCTGAGCCCCTCTCAGCCAACCGTTTATTCCACTCTATTAATCCCATTTCAGGGAATGCCCATGTTATATATGGTGTGAAGATTTCTCCTTTCTTTCCTGATCAAATTTCCTAAAATGTCAAGTTGGTTTTTTTCTTTAAGGAAAGAAATTCTGTTGTGTTTTATTTATTTTAGTTCTTCATGTCCCCTTGAATTTTCAACAAGTACCAAGTGTTTGTGTGTTTGTTGCTTGTTTTTTTTTTGTTTTTTTGTTTTATTTTGACTCTTGGTAACTACCAAGCATGGTAGGAATTAGTTAAGAGTATCTATAGGACATATTTCCACTTCCATTTGACATGCCATTGTGTGCAACTTTTTTAAAGGGACAAAACTTAAGATTCAGATATTTAAATGTTTCGGTTGGTTTAGACTTGTTCTTATAGAGTTAATTTGGGTTGTAGAGTTGATTTGGGAAAACTCTTTCTGTTTTGGATAGGTAGCTGGTGGATACTTGTATGAGATAGTCTAATTGATATTTAAAATATTCTGATTATGAAAAGCGTACCAATGCTGGAATGTTCCATAATGAAAGAGGGCTTTTAGTTGACTACTCACTGAGTAGTTCCTATTTGCTAGGCAGGAGATCCTTAGATCCCACAGTGGTCTTTAGTTCCCACACTTAGTGTTAACCCCAACAGCTGGGTTGATTAGTTTGTTAAGTCGAGTAATTAGTGGGGTTTGGTGAGGTACCCTGACCTAGGTGCTCCTAACCACTATGCTCTCTCTTGGTGGTCTTAGTGTTTATTTGTACTTTTAACTTTTTTTCATGTCTTTAAAAAAAGTCATTCTGCCTCTGTTAACCCTATGATAATGCTGTGCAGTGTCACCAGATAATTTTCAGTTCTTAAGTAAGGCAGACATACTTGTCTGTCAGTTTTTTATACTTTGTTCAACACAATTGTATTGAAAACCTTCTGAGCTTCAGGACTTCTGGCATTAAGATAACTTCAGCAAGAAAATAAACTTCACAGATTTTTAATGAGTTAATATTTAATGATTAATTTCTATACTGCAAATATACTGAAATGGTAGTGTTTAAAACAGTAATGTTACTTTAAGAATAAATCTTACACAGAAGTAGATATAGTTTGATATTTAAATTTTGAACCTTCATTTATTTTGAAGTAGAGTCAAGATTTTACGTTTTCAAATAAAAATAACATTTTTAAATGATGACTGTTTATAGGTTCTGATTTAATGCCATTTACTATTAATGTATAGAAATATAGTGAACAGCTATGATTACTTTAGTGGTAATATTTTTGCAGGTGGAGTAATATTAAATGGTGAAGGAACAGCCAAAGATAATCAAGAATTTCTGGCAAATAAAGGTGAATCGTAATTTTAATTGGTTATTGATTAATGTAACTTGGTATGGTTTTTAAAAATTTTTATTTGTTTTTTATTGAGAGAAAATTTTAGAGATAAACAGTAGTTATATTGAAATTTCAAACTTGAATTTAAATGGCATTTAATCTAATGGTCACAATTCTTCATAAAATGTCATATTTATATAACATTCCATGCAGTTTTGTTCATCTGGAATTAGTAAAATCCAGTTGTTCAATTTGGCACTCAGTTTTGATTTCTTCTTTTTGGTTAACTTGAGATATTTTGCTGCTCTGGGTAACATTATTTGACCTAATTTATTGATTGTGGTTCCTGGGGTTTTATTTTTAAATTATATTTAAAATATATATTTAATTTCACCTGTGTTATGCAGTGTTTTTGAACTCATTGTGATTAAATAGGATTATAAGATGATCTAGCTTTTCAGTTCTAAAAAATGTATGACTTTATCATAGTAGGCCTAATAGTGACAAAATGGAAGTGACATATACCAAATAAAACAAACTTTTACTTCTAGAACTCTGCTCCAAATGACCTGAAACATGTGTCAGCATAATTTTTTTTCTTATTCCTAGGTTTAACATCTATTAAAAAGGACATGACTGACATAAGTCATGGCTATGAAGATCTCGGCCTCTTACTCAAGGACAAAATAGCAGAACTGAATGCTAAACTCTCCAAATTGCAAAAGGCTCAGGAGGAGTCAAGTGCAATGATGCAGTGGTTACAGAAAATGAACAAAACTGCCACAAAATGGCATCAGACGCCTGCACCTACAGACACTGAAGCCGTGAAGACTCAAGTTGAGCAGAATAAGGTATGTTTTGTAGGTGCACCTACAGAAGACATGAAAGAACAGTGTAGCCTTCAGCACTGAACCCTGGGAGTCAGGAGCTCTCTTCTGTTTCCTAACTCTGTAACCTTCAGCACATAAGTTGACAGTTTTGTTTTATGTGACTTTTCTGTAGAGATGGATGATAATTGTCTCTTAGTATCTTTTGTATACTCCCATTATAAAGATGAGCAGACTGTTGGGTCTTTGTCAACTTTAAATCAGTTTAAGTCTAGTATATTAACCAGTCAACTATTGGAAATGGTGTATTTTAAGGGTTAAATGTATTTGAGATCTCATCAGTCTAGCATTTAATAGGATAGCTCATGCGTTCCTTTTCTTTAATAGACGGTGTTTCTTTCTACAGCTGTCAAGGTTGGGAGAAGGTTTTACATGGTGGCAGTTAGGACAAAAATGTTCACAAATTACTAATCTATATTTGAACTCTATAATTGTTACCTAAAAAAGTGCTTATTCACTAGTAGATTCTCAAATTCCGGCAAACTTTATCAAGGCTGTACTTAATAAGAAAATTAAGAGTGATTTTCTTATTAATTACAGTTTTACCAATATCATCTTTCTTTTTTCCAAAGTGATTTGTTTGAAAATATGAAATTCTGCCCCTGTAACGGGGACACGAGTCATTACCTCCATGCTACAGTGTTCTTCTCTGGGATTCCTTTATCACACAGTTGAAGACCAGCTAAGAAGAGGAAAGGAAAGTCATTAACTACTGAATCCATGTCCTCACCCACATTAGCATTTAACAGTGAAATTTTTCCTCTTTTGGGTCATGCTAGAGAAAAATAATGCTCTATCATATTTGTGTTTTTGTCTTTTGCTGTTGACATAGTGTTTTTCTTTTCTTTTCTTTTCTTTTTTTCCGTTGCTAGTCTTTTGAGGCAGAACTGAAGCAAAATGTAAACAAAGTCCAGGAGTTGAAAGACAAATTGACAGAGTTGTTGGAGGAGAATCCAGACACTCCTGAAGCCCCCAAGTGGAAACAGATGCTGACAGAAATAGGTATGTTGTGTGACCTACATGACAGTCCACAAGCAGACAATAATTTTCTTTTATATCATAATACTTTATCAGAAAACATCCAATAGTTTTATTTATTTTGGTATTTGCTTTAATGTTTTAGAATATATCTTTGGCATATGATAGCTCCTGTTTTCTTGGTAAACACAGTAACTAAATTTTATTTTTGTGGAGACGTCAGATACTAGTTAATAAAATGCTGTGTGTTGTTGAGTAACATTGTTTTCATTAATAGGCATTTATTTGCTTTTTCTTAGCTGTTTGATGCTTTATATTATTTTTTTTTATTTATTTTTTGGGTTTTTTTTTTTTTTCCTAACAAAGTTTATTAGAGAAAGACAGGAGAAAAGAGAGGGAGACATGCTAGAGCTGGCATGGGCAAGAGAAACTGCTATTATCTTTAAAAATTTTTTTAATATTTTAATTTAAATGTGCCTTTCATTCATTTGGAAACAGTAGGCTCCCTTCTATTACATGGAGTTATCCCTGGGACTCCTCCTTCCTACACTTTGTGGTCTTCTCTCCCCCAGACAGTACTTAAAGAAAGTAGCTTGCCAAAGAAAACTGGTAGCTCTGATGCTTTATCCTGAATTATTTCTCATCCCCATCTGTTCCTGTGTAAAATGCTCCTCATAGGGTACAGAATTTTCTTCATAAGCCCTATTTTCTTATCAATTTCCTTAATATACCAATGTGCAACATGTGTGTAAGAAAAGGACAATAATTTTTCCTACTTCATAGTATTGTTTGAAGGACTCATTAAGTCAATGTATGAACAGCTCAGTCAAATAGTACCTGGAGCATAGTAAGTGCTATGTAAGTATATACTTGGATCGTAATAATTATTTTACATTTCATTATTTATCCAAATCTTGTTCTTCCTTTAGAATCAGGTATGCTATGCTGCATTTAGAAATCTGTAAGTACGTTTTAGTTTGAAAAAGGTTGCTCTAAGGAATCTTAATGTTCTGAGATATTTAATACAACTATGGAGATTCCTGTGGAGTGGTGATTAATTTGCCCCTAATTTGGTAACTCTCCTGGGAAATCAGTATTACCTGGGGAGAGTATTATTAAGACATTTTAGAATAGGGATGGGAAAGATGACTGTGTATTTCAAAAAAACTTCTTGATGACTTTGATATTTCACCTTCCTGATTTATTGTTTTAATTGCATTATTTTTTTTTTTTTCTTTTTTGAGTTGGAGTCTCACTCTGTCGCCCAGACTGGAGTGCAGTGGCCGCTCCTGGCCACCGCAGCCTCGACCTGCTGGGCTCCGGCGATCCTTCCGCCTCAGCCTTCCAAGTAGCTGGAATTACAGGCACGCGCTACCACGCCCAGCTAATTTTTTGATTTATTGTAGAGATGAGGTCTCGCTGCCCAGGCGGGTCTCGAACCCGCGGGCTCACTCACCTCAGCCTCCCAAAGGCGCGGGATTACAGGCTGAGCCACCGAGCCCGGCTTAATTGCATGATTTTATTGTCAGATTGTCTTTGACTAGAACATGCAATATTGAACAAGATGATAAGGTTTCAGGGATTGTGTTCTATTAAAATCATTCCTTTAGTGTATGTATTATGCTAAATGAGAAAAACTCTCAACTAATTGCACTATCATTGAATGTTTATTGAGTGACTAGTGTGTGTAAGTGCTGGACAAAATGCTTGGATCAATAACCCATGACTACAGGGAGCATGCTTTCTCAAGGATGGAGAGAGCAGGAAAGGTTTCCTAGCAGAGGGCAAATCCAATGGAATTGTGAAGGAAGGATAGGGTTGGGATATGGGAAGAAGTAGAGAGCATCTTAGGCACAGGACTTGTGTGAGCAAAAGCTTATTTGTATAACAGTGAGATCAGCAGGGCTGGATTAGAGGATTCATTTAAGCATGTAAACTCTCAAATATTATTAGGCTCTCTAAGATTGTGGGAGCCTGAATGTCAGGCAGAAGTCTGCAGATTTTGTCATCTAGGTGGTGAGGAGTGAGCTATTGAAGGTTTGAGCAGGGCAGTGACATGTTTAAAAGTGACTTTTGGCCAGGCCCAACGATTCCAGCATTTTGGGAGGCCGGGGAGGGGGGGATCACTTGAGGCCAAGAGTTTAAGAGTAGCCTGAGCAACATAGCAAGGTCCTGACTCTACAAAAAGTTTAAAAAAAGAAAGAAAGAAAGGAATTAGCTGGGTCCCAGCTACTCTGAAGGCTAAAAAGGCGAGTAGTGAGGTATGATGGAGCTACTACACTGCCGTCTGGCAACAGTGCAAAAAAAAAAAAAGTAAATAATTAAAAAACAAAAGTGATGTTTTAAAGGAAAATTATTTCAGGACCACATGGAGTGCAACTGAGAAACAGTGATAGCAGGAATACCAGATAGGAGACTGATGGTCCAGGGTTGTAGTTCTCGAGAAGTGCTCCTGGGACCTGCAGCAACAGCCTCACCTGACAACTCTTTAGAGAAATGCAGCCTTTCAGACTCCACTCCAGACCTACTGAATGAGAAACTCTGGGGGTCTAGCCCAGCAACCTGTGTTAAGGCTCCCTCCAGGTGATTCTCATGCAGTTCAAGTTTGAAAACTACTGATCTAGGCAAAGCATTAGATCTCCCTCATCTGGAGGGATTACATTAAATTATCACACATACCCTGGAAATATGTACAAGTATTACATGTCAATAAAAATAATGTTTAAAAAAACACATGAAGCCAGGCTCGGTGGCTCAGCCTGTAATCCCACGCCTTTGGGAGGCTGAGGTGGGTGGATTGCCTGAGCCTGTGGGTTCGAGACCTGCCTGGGCAGGCGAGACCTCATCTCTACAGTAAAATAAAAAAATTAGCCGGGCGTGGTAGCGCACACCTGTAATTCCGGCTACTTGGAAGGCTGAGGCGGAAGGATCACCGGAGCCCAGCAGGTCGAGGCTGCGGTGGCCGGGAGCGGCCACTGCACTCCAGTCTGAGCGACAGAGTGAGACTCCAACTCAAAAAAAAAACAAAACAAAACACATGATTAGGGTCAAAATGGAGCTATGACATTGGGAATGTAAAGGAGGGGTTTAAGGTTTTATGATCAAGGATACAAGAGTTAAAAGGCTCATAAAAATAACATTCTGAATTATTGCTTCTCAGTGACATGGCAGAAATGATAACCAAGGAAAGTAATTGAAAAGTCAGAAAATGCACCAGTTTTGAAAGGAATATAGTGAGTTTTACTTTTTAATGTTGAGTTTAAAGGGTTGGTGAGATTTTGTACTATAACTTTTCAGCAGCTGGGTTGTTAATGTGTGATTTGAAGAAGAGAATAATTGGGGATAGATATCCAAATTCAGGAGCCATTTGCCTAGAACAGATAATTGAAGATTTGATTTTAAAGAAGAGAACTAATGTTCATTGCTCTAGAAGGTTAGTTACAGTTGAATAAACAGACTCTATAGGACTTCTAGAAGGAATGGAGTATTTCAGGACCCTATTTGCTTTAATGAATACTCCATATTGTATCATATCTTCTAAAATTAGATTCAAGTTTTTTTTTTTCTGATACTCTGCTTGAAGGATAAGAACCAACAGGTCCATAAAATATGTACAATTAAATGCAGTTAGTTCTCTTAGGTTAGACCTTTAATGAACCATGTAAGATGAGCCGTGAAAGTGGAATGACAACCATTATATATCACTTTGAATCATATCATACAATCTTCCTAGACATAGACATGTCAAATGCATAAACATCAAACACTAGTTTTATTCTTTTTCTTTCAGATTCTAAGTGGCAAGAACTCAATCAATTAACCATTGATAGACAACAAAAATTGGAAGAATCCTCCAATAATCTAACCCAATTCCAGACTGTAGAGGCCCAGTTAAAGCAGTGGCTTGTGGAAAAAGAACTGATGGTCAGTGTTCTCGGACCTTTGTCCATTGACCCAAATATGCTAAACACGCAAAGGCAACAGGTGCAGGTGAGTATTACCTAATAACCTGTCTCATATGCAGCAGCTTGACTTATGCAGCAACTTGACAAGATCAATGTTTTCATTATAAATACATTAGCTTTGGGCAATGTGTACTTTAGCTGCTTTGAAGGGTATTTGTATGCTTCAGATGCTCATGAGACCTCATCCTGATATCAGTGCGAAACCTCTAGAGAACTAAAGCTGTGAGGCATCCTAGACTGCTCTCCTTGATTCCTATGAGTAGGCCAAGTCCCCTGATTATTCCAGTCATGTGGTGGGTGGTATGGATCCTGTTAAAAAGGGTCTTCTTTGAAGTATTGATGTGATGAAGTAGTATTTTTATGAGAAGCTAATATGTACTTTTTACTGTTTAGAATTACTCCTTTGAGTTTTTATTCATTTTGATTGTGGTAGCCGATCACGGAACTTGTAACACTCATGCCATGGAGTCCTGAGGGGGGAGAAGGACAGAATAAGAAGAGTACAAAGAATAAGGGAAGCTGAACAGGAACTCTGAAACCAGGGCAGTAGTGAAACTAGTTTAATTGCAAAGCAGATTTTAAAAATCACCAGGGAAAAAGAATCCATAAAATTTAAGTCAGGCATAATACCAGAAGCTGCGTTGTGACTTCAGTTAAGAGTTTTTTGATATGTGAGTACTGGCGTTAGAGGAGTGAGGCTGATTCTATAAGCAGAAAGTGTAGGTCTTGGGAAAGTCACATGTTCTCATTCATATCCTTCATAATCTGAAGAGAATGAAAACAAAAGATAAAGGTAAGTATCAGCCGAGTGCACTAGCTCATGCCTGTAATCCCAGCACTTTAGGAGGCCACAGCAGGAGGATCAATTGAGCCCAGGAATTTTGAGACCAGCCAGGGCAACATAGCGAGACTTCATCTCTACAAAAAAAAAAAAAAAAAAACAAAACCAAAAAGTTAGCTGGATGGTGGTACACACCTGTAGTCCCTGCTACTCAGGAGACTGAGGTGGGAGGATTGCCAGAGCCCAGGAGGTTGAGGCTACGGTAAGCCATGATCATGCCACTGCACTCCAACCTGGGCGATAGAGTGAGACCCTGAATCAAAAAATAGTAATAATAATAAGTATCTTGGGAGAAATAATTGCCTCTAGTCTTGGCAGTCTCCCAAAGATAGATAAATAAAATGTACATAAGAATGTATAAAAGGTAGACAGATAAAAAAGTGTACTTAAAATATTTGGATCATTCATTTTATGCTGAGAGTCATACTGAGCCTATACATTTTGAGCACCATGATTTGTTGGTTAAAACTCTTAAAGGCTGTAAATATCAACAAATCTTATATTAAAAAGCCTCTGTAATCAATGCATAGAGTTAATAAATTTTAACACCATTGTTACTGTGCATTTTCTTTAATGTAAAATGCTATAAGATATTCCAAAAATGCTGTAAAGAGAAAAGCATGAGTAGAGAAAACCAAATTTGGTGTGAGTGCAGTGTGAACTTGTCTGATAGCAGTGTTTCCCTTTGTATACGAAGATTCATACATGAAGTTTTGTACATTTTTCCCAAGTTACCAAAAACACTTATTCTTTTTCTCCTTTAGAAGGATGTGATTAGTTTAAACAAAATACTCTCTGTGAAGCACCATTGCTCTTCAGATTTCAGATAACTGTGCTGTCCTTTAAGTAAAAAGTGGGAAAGCGGAAACTAAAAATACAAACTAGATAAATAATAACCATTTCCATCTGTTTGGACACTTAAAGCTATGTTTTCTATCATCAATCATATAATTTGTTTATGTGTTTGTTTACGGTCATCACTTCAGATTCTGCTGCAAGAATTTGATACTAGAAAGCCTCAATATGAACAGCTAACAGAAGCCGGCAGGGGCATTCTAAGCCGACCTGGAGAAGACCCTTCTTTGCATGGGATTGTGAAAGAGCAGCTGGCAGCTGTGACCCAAAAATGGGATAGCCTAACAGGACAATTGAGTGACAGATGTGACTGGATTGACCAAGCCATTGTGAAGAGCACACAGTATCAAAGCCTGCTGAGAAGCCTCTCTGAGAAACTGAGTGACTTGGATAATAAACTCAGCAGCAGTCTGGCCGTGAGCACGCACCCTGATGCCATGAACCAACAGTTGGAAACAGCCCAAAAAATGAAGCAGGAAATTGAGCAGGAAAGGAAGCAGATAAAAGTAGCCCAGGCACTCTGTGAGGATTTGTCAGCACTGGTGAAAGAGGAGTACTTGAAAGCTGAACTGAGTAGGCAGCTAGAAGGCATCTTAAAACCATTTAAGGATATTGAACAAAAAGCAGGTTTGTCTACTTTTAATACATATATTTCTGGTCCAGACAGATATATATTGCCTGTCCCAAGCTGTTGCAAATAATCCAGGGCCCTAAAGAGACTCTGCCCAAAGAAAACACAACTGAAGAGGCCACTGATTACAGAAGCACAGAAAGCAGTTCTGTGTCCATGGCATACACAGTGCTAGGATCATTCATTCTACACAATAAGTCTGTTGGTGAAATCCACTTAATGAAGACCCATTAAAATTTCAGGAATCCCAAACTGGTTTTTAAAAGATAAACATTTTTGCTGTGTGACATAGTCTTATCTTGCCAGAAAAGCAGATGAATTGTTATTTAAAAAAAGGCTTTGTATCATTTTCTCATCTGCTGTTACTTTGCCTATCCTATTATAGAAAACTTTTCTAGAGAACTGGGTGAAAGAGGACCATTTGGCAATATTTCCCTCTTTTACTTACTGCAATCATAATTCTGTGGTAAATGGGCAGATATTTGTTAGAGGCAGCTGTAATGAGGTATTGGAATTCAGAAAGGACTATTGAAGAAAGGCACATTTTGTTGCTGTTTGTCCTGTTTGAAAAGTAACACTAGTTTCTAGGCCTTGCACCTAGTAGATGCTCAGTTTATGTTCTTTAATTGATTCAGTTTATTTATTGATCACAGTGACCATCTCAAACTCACTCCTCTATTTGATATTGATATAAATATCAGCCATTATCATTTTTATTATTCTTAATGTTATAAACACTTTTATGAAATCAACATTAAACTAAGAACTTTACATGTACTCTCATTTAATCCACACAACAGTTACTATTAATACTGCCAATTTTCAGTTGGGGAGATGAGGCCTAGAGGCTTAATCCTTTGCCCAAGGTCTTCCAACTCTAAAGAGGTTAAGCCAGAATGCAAACTCATGCAGTCCTTATGTGCTGCATTGTGTTGCCTCCATGATGTGCAAAAGACATAGAAGTGAGCAAGTCATATCTGATAAGAGAGGGAAGGATTATTTATCAGCATAACCCGGAACTTTTCAGTTGTTGTTTTCCCATACTGGGATAGAGAAGACATTAGCACCACAGGCGATGCATGGTATGATGGCACCCTGAACCTTTATGCATTTTTGCTTATTGCCATAATCTTTGCTTTTCCCTCTGTCTGTTTCCTGCTTCTTGCCTTGTCTCTCTTCTTGTTACTGTGCCTATCTCTTGTCTCTTTCTCCTCTTTGTCAGTAACTGAAGTTCACTTGTAGTTCTTCGAGTTGGTGCTAAAAGCCCTAGCTTTTAGGCAACTCTGTACATTCATCCAGAGATTATTCTTTTGGCTTCTTACAGGTGACATTAACATGTTGATGTAAAATAAACATGTCTGTAATTTCATTTTTAGAGAACCATGTTCAGCACCTTCAGTCAGCCTGTGCAAGCTCTCATCAATTCCAACAAATGTCTAGAGATTTTCAGGCCTGGCTGGATACAAAGAAGGAAGAACAGAACAAATCTCATCCAATATCAGCCAAACTTGATGTCTTGGAATCATTAATTAAAGATCAGAAAGATTTTAATAAAACTTTGACTGCCCAGTCGAATATTTATGAAAAAACCATTGCCGAAGGTGAAAACCTATTATTAAAAACACAAGGATCCGAGAAGGCAGCCTTACAGTTACAACTTAACACGATTAAAACCAATTGGGATGGATTTAATAAGCAGGTGAAAGAAAGAGAAGACAAGCTAAAAGACTCTTTGGAAAAAGCTCTCAAGTATAAAGAGCATGTAGAGACTCTCCGGCCATGGATAGACAAATGTCAAAAAGACTTGGAGGAAATAAAATTTTGCTTGGATCCTGCAGAAGCAGAAAATTCTCTTGCCAAGTTAAAGTCTCTGCAGAAGGAAATGGACCAACACTTTGGTATGGTCGAATTGCTAAACAACACCGCCAATAGCTTGCTCAGTGTCTGTGAGATCGATAAAGAGGTTGTTACAGATGAGAATAAATCACTGATCCAGAAAGTAGACATGGTCACTGAACAACTTCACAGTAAGAAATTCTCTCTGGAGAATATGGCTCAGAAGTTTAAAGAACTTCAAGAAGTTTCCAAAGAAGCTAAAAGGCAACTTCAGTGTGCAAAGGAGCAGCTGGATGCCCACGATTCCTTAGGGCCCCAGGCTTACAGTAACAAATATCTGACTGTGTTGCAGACTCAACAGAAATCACTTCAGACCTTGAAGCCTCAGATAGAATTGGCCAAAAGACTCGCTCAAGACCTTGTGATAGAAGCCTCAGACTCAAAGGGAACCTCTGATGTTTTATTACAAGCAGAAACCTTAGCTCAAGAGCATAGTGCTCTCAGTCAGCAGGTTGATGAAAAATGTTCATTCTTAGAAACCAAGCTTCAGGGCATTGGACATTTCCAGAATACCATCCGGGAAATGTTTTCTCAGTTTGCAGAGTTTGATGATGAGCTGGATAGCATGGCTCCAGTGGGGAGAGATGCAGAAACATTGCAAAAGCAAAAGGAGGCTATAAATGCCTTTCTAAAGAAGCTAGAAGCGTTGATAGCAAGCAACGACAATGCCAATAAAACCTGCAAGATGATGCTGGCCACAGAAGAAACCTCTCCTGACCTAATTGGAATCAAAAGGGATTTGGAGGCCTTAAGCAAACAATGCAACAAGTTACTGGACCGGGCTCACGCCAGAGAAGAGCAGGTTGAGGGGACAATTGAGCGTCTTGAGGAATTCTACAGCAAATTGAAAGAATTTTCTACTCTGCTCCAGAAGGCTGAAGAACATGAAGAGTCACAGGGTCCTGTTGGTATGGAAACAGAGACAATTAATCAGCAGCTTAACGTGTTCAAGGTAGGGAATTTTTCCTTTTTTACTGAGTGTTTTTATTGTAAAAGAAGTTTCAAATTGGTGTAGAAAAGAAATTGCCTGCTTTGTTGAACCTTCTAATGTGGGTGTCACATAGTAATAGAGTCTGAATAAGCATCTATGGGGATAACACCCAAGCATGTGGGGCAGTTCCAAGCCTTCTGGGGATTTGGGGCTTCATGGGAATAAGGCCTGAGATAAAATCAACAGGTGATAAGGGTGCTTGAAAACGCTCCAAGTAAGCTAAAGTTGACATCATGGGGTCCGCTTCTGAAATCATTCATAACTAACATCTCCGGGGACCGGAGCTGTCCTTTGAACTCTGCTGCAGAGGGTTGTCTCCTACTACTTTCTTTAATGGTGAATTATCCTCTTGTCCTGCCCCTTGCCTTTTTATAGTCTTATCATCCTTCTACACTGAATTTTTTCCACAAGTTTTTTCTTCTAAAAACTCCTATTTTTTAAGGCAGTGTGGCGTTCCATGTTGTAATCTTGGTTTCATAAAACAAAGATATTGGGCTCCAGTCCCAGAGGATTAGGAGTGAATTATTTTTGATTAAACTATATAAGTTCTTCAGTGCCAAGAAATGTCTGCCACTTGATAGTGCTCCATGACACTTAATGAATAGAACATTAGATTAAAATGCTGGGCCAGTTTCAGCATCATTGGATTTGGCCTTATTTATGGTAGTAAGAGCAGAAGTTGCATCTCTTCTAGGGACAAAGATAGGTGCATCCCTGGAAACAGAGGGTCTTAAATATCAGGCATTTGCTACATGGGACTAGTGTAAACCTCTGGGGGTTGACATGGCTCTTGTTCTATTTATGAAGTGTGTTTTATTGGTGAAGGTGTACTGTACCATTTTGCGTGAAGGATAAACTAAGACCAAAGAAAAACAGAATTTATAAAACTACAGATTGTTTCCCATGAGAAGTGAATATGAATCAAATGGTTTTCCCAATTCTATACTATTATATTTTGCATACTGTTTCTTTTGCTTATCTTTAACAGGTGACTGAATTTTGAAAAAATAACTTCAAAATAGCTTTTGTTAATTCATGTTATTATTACTGTTTATTTCATTTTATTTTTTTACTTTAACGATGGGCACAATTCAGGGTTAGGCATGCAAATGTTCATTATTCATGTACCCTATTATTACTGTCAAAAATTATTTGCAATTTATCAAATGTCTTTGAAGCCCAGTCCCTTCAAGGCTTACAAATCTATTTAGATTTTGTTTCTTGAAGGTGAAGGAAGCTATCTGGCTGTTGACTTTACTTCCTTCATTACTCTGTCAATTTTTCATATTTCTGATTTACAAAATAAAAACTTCCTATGAGAAATCCTCTATCAGAAAAACATATTTCTGTGGCAGTTGCTGCTTCAGAGACAGAGAGAGGTCTTGGGACTGACAGTTTCTTTGTGGGTAAAGTTTGGAATTTTCTGTAGAATTTTGACTAATCTTCAAAGCTTAAATAACTGTCATCAAGCAGTCTTTACACTAATGAAATTGAACCACGTTAAGTGCCTTTGTAAAATCATTATGATTGCTGTAGGTTTTCTGTGAATTTGACTAGACAAAGGAGTAGGCCTTCATTGCCTCATTACTTGTAAGACAATGGGCACAAGTGATAATAAAAACATGATAAAAGTGCTGCTACTCATGAATGCCCCCCTGTCCCCCCAGCCCAAGTATGAGTGCAGTGAAAACTGTGGCTCTTCGTGTGGATAACTGAAAGTAAGAAAAAGCAAGAAACAGGAGCCTTCTCACCCTTGCATTGAAGGTGTTTTGCAAACGGAAAAGCACCAAATAAGCCACATTATCATTAATGGGTACAGAGATTGTCTTATTTGGTTGTGAAGAAAAATAGAGTGATCATTTCTTCGAAAAATAACGTATTTAGCATGTTGTGTTTGTTTTCTTTTCTGATTATCTGGAAGGAGTTGATTGATTTTATTGAAACTCAGCAATAAAGAATATTATGACATATTTTCAGTGTGTTGAAACCCAGTGACTTTTTAAAGAGTTTTTAATTGGACAGATAATCTGCATTTAATATATTTCAGTGCCATAGGTAAAAAAAAGAGCAAGAATATGATTATGGTAAATAAATATGGTAGCTTACACAACCACTAATTCCATTTATTTGTGTGTGTGTGTGTGTGTGTCTACTTATTGTAAAGAAGCCAAGGCCCAGGGAGGTTAAGTGACTCGCTCAAGGTCACATAGATAATAAGTGTCAGACTTTGAATGTTTTGATGGAAATAATGCAGCGTCTTTTGTCATCTTTATTTGCCACAGTTCACATCGAATATTTTCTCTGGAGAATTTTCAAATATGTTTTGCTGTAGCCTAATTTGGGCAGCCTCAATAGCCAGCCATTATTCGTTTTAATCCAGAACACCAGGAACACCCCCACTTATGGAGAGTGTTCTATAAAACTAGCTGCTATGAGAAATACGAGATAAATGTGTGCAAAACTGTCTTAGAAACTGATGTTATCTAGATGCTGTGATGATGAGGGTGTCAGTGATGCTGATGGTGATGTCCAACGGTTACCACTACTGCTACTGCTGCAATGGAATCAAACATTTCATTGTCTTCGTGATTTTCTTTCTTGACTAAAGTGATAAATTAACTTGTTTATAATTCAGAACCTACTTTAGTTTCTGTTGGCCTTAGACTTTTGTTAAACATTAGTTTTAACATAATTTTTAGAAAGTTGTTTTCGTTTTTTAAGTGGAATGAGTTGTATTGAGTAAAAGCTAGTTACTATAATTTCTAAAGATGAAAGAGAAAAGAAGTAAAGAACTGACTCTATTTTCATTATCGACTTTGAAATATAATCCAGTTTGACATTAATCTGTCTGATAGTTTTAGTTTAATCTCATGTTACTGATAAATTCCATAATAGTTATTCTTAATACGAAATAAACTGCCTTCTGAACAGGACTGAAAATAATAACTATTACTCAGTTACTTATTAAGGGGTGCCTTACACACAGTGAAAACATGAGATTACCTAAACCCGATAAGACAGACTTCTCTGATTCCATTTTTTAAAAAATTAACCAAATAAATAGCTGTTAATATTACTTTAGGATTCCTTGAAGGAACAAAATTCATTAATGTTTAAGATACCAATTCAAACAGAATGACCAAAAGCAAATGCTATTCTGAACCTAGTGTTCTAACTCACTCTCCATGAAAACTATTCTGAAATATTTTGAAAATAGGTTGGTGTTACCTTTTGTGTTAGCCTGAAGTTTTAGAAACTATTTTGACTAAGTTCTATTTTATGTATGTTTTCCTACTTGTAAATACTGGTCACTGGACTAACATGTTAAGAGTGAGGTGTCTTCTTAACTGTTAGTAAGTCAAAGTACCATTTCTCTATTTGTATTTCTCTGCAATGACAAACAGATTTCATGCATATTGTTATAAATTGGTGGGTTGGATAGCAAAACAATTCTGTATATCTCTAACCAGGAAATAAAAAAAAACTCCTTCAGGGCTCCCTACATCCCTGCCTCCTGTTTGAAGACTCCTAGCTCAAGAGTATCTTCAAATTAAATTACATTATTAAGTAATCTTAACGGTTCCATATTTTTATTTATCAAAGACATATGTAACTGATTAGATACAAGGAACATATCCCAGAATTCCTATGATATCATTATCAGCCTGTCATGTCTTCTGATCATCATGAAGTAATCATTATCACCATATTGAATTGATTTAATTTCAGTGAAGATCAAAGAAACTTGATGTTTTAATGACTGTATACAGTCACACCCTAGCTAAAGCTGTACCCTTTCCTGCCTCTACCTAGGCCATGGTAAAGCAGTGTCTCATCTGGGAACCTGCTTACTGTTTATTTCTAGCCACTTTGTTACTGTTCCAATTGTAATTCATTTGGTTTCTACAAATGAACACATCTCTGGTACAAGTCTCTCTGAACTGAAGATTTTCTTTTGCTTTTTAAAATGAAGTTAGCAATACTTTGAGCAGAGAATTTTTAAGCCAAGCTGAAACCAGAGACAAAGACCATAACACATGCCTAGCTATACTGTACTGTACTAAACTTTCTCTGTTCCTGTTGAAGGTATTGTTTAACCTCGGCGTGAGTACTGGTATATTGAGTAAACTAAAATGCCAAGTGTCGTGGGACCAAGAAAGCCAGGCAGTTTTGAGCACAAATTTCTTACTAAGTTATATATTAAAATGATCTAAATATAGCTTCTCTGTAATGTCACCATATTTTTGAAGATAAAATTAAATTGTTCAAAAAATGCTTTAGTAGCTGTTTTTAAGTGTGTTCATATTGTTCCTTTTTTTTTTTTTGAGTTAGAGTCTTACTCTGTTGCCCAGGGTAGAGTACAGTGGCATGATCAAGGCTCATCCCAGCCTCAAATTCCTTTGCGCAGGCGATCCTCCCGCCTCAGCCTCCCAAATAGCTGGGACTACGGTGCACATCATCACACCTGCCTGATTTTTTGACTTTTTATAGAGACAATGTCTCATTATTTCTCCCAGGCTGGGCTCAAGCTTCTAAGCTCCTGCATCAGCCTCCCAAAGTGCTGTGATTATAGGCATGAGCCACTGCACCCAGCCTAAATGTGTTCATGTTATATAGAAGTCAGTGATGTGTTGTTCTTCATTTTTGCTGAGACCAGAGAAATCAGAGAAAGCAACTTAAGTGCTTTTTGTGAAGGAAAATTTCTTAATAAATTGGATTTTTGTTAATAAAACTACATTAGCAAAGCAGTTGCATGAAACCTTTCTCCGGTGTTTTTGAAGGTATAAATATTTTCACTCTGGAAACTGTAACTGGATACATGGGCAGTTATAGGAAGGTCACTTTATTTAACAAATCACATCAAAGTGGCATTTAAGATTTTTAGGAAGAAAGAATACCCTGTATGCTGGTCAATAAAGGAGGATGGCTAAAGCAAGAAACCACACCTAGCTCTTCAGAGT